TTTACCGTAAAATAAAGACGGTTTATAAAAAGTGAATACTGCAGCCTAGGTGTTCGGTTGAATTTTTTTTTTTTTTTTTATAAATGCAATGATTAATAGGTTAGTATTATTAGATGTTAACAATTAAGAATTTGATTCACAAATCTAATGAATAACTTATCGACTTCAACAAAGTGTGCGGCCATCAGATCGCTTGGTGAAATTCTGTTCAGTTGATTCTAATAGTAAGGAATTTGAATCTTTAATTAATAATTAAATAAAATACAATACGTACAAAATAAATTAAATTTTAATATTTTTATTATAAAAATAAATCATAGTACACAGAGTTTGTAAGTAGTGCATGTGTTTCGGAACCGAACTTTAAACCCAATGATTCGACTCAAGTCTTAAGTGTTTGGATGAGATGGTCAGAATTTTGAGTTTTATTATCGTTGTAAACTTCATTAAAAAGTAGTCTGATGGTCGCGTGCCTCATTTGAGGGGGTGAAATGTTCACCAAATCTGCGGATCAAATCTCCAGTTGTTAACAACTAACTCATACTAATTTTCTAACCATTACCCTTATAAAAAAAAAAAGAAAAAGCAGTGCAGGTGTTTCTGACTTGGCGATAATTTGTACCTACCATGAACATAAGTCACCCACATTATTACATATTGTAAATGCCAGGGAGATACATGAATCAGTATATATTTTTTTATTTGATATGATGTAAATATTGTAGAGATTCACAATAAAAAGATATGGTAGCAAACCTATTAAAGAGAAATTTTTAATTATTTAATAATTTAATAATAATTTTTTATAAAAATAAAAAATTTTCTTCCAAGTCATATGCATATAAATAAAATGAATAAAAAAATAAAAAAGCACTGTCTCTTTTTACTGTATCTTGCAAAGAGCAGTATTTAATTTCCCTGATCTAGATATTATACACTTTGTAAGGAAGCTAGCAGCTCATGATTTCTTTCAAAATTTCCATGTAATTGCAATATTGAATTTTACCATAGTTTTCTTTTGACGAGAGACTTTGATTCCAGTGAAAAAAGGATAATATGGTTTGGATATCCTCATAGTAATGAACTAACTTCGAATTCCCTGACTCAGAATCAATGAACTTACTTATATATTGTTGAAGTTGAAAGAGTAAAATATATCATGTGGGTGCTGCGCTGCATTGAATGGTCTTTGAGCAGGCTTTGCAGCAGCCTGCAGTTTCATATGGTCGAGCCAATCATGGTCTGTATTTTGCTGTCTGAATGAAAGGCTCTGTTACCCAATTGGCATCCAAACAAGGTGTCTCCACTAATTTGTCCCAGCATCTCCGGTGAGTTCTGCTCAACACTAACCAAATGCCCTTCTTTAGAAACCACTTTTACTACCCAACGACGAGGGACTTCGTTCGGACAAGCTTGAGGATGTCTTTCATAAAAACAGTTGGTTCAAATCCTACAGTTAGTTTGGTCATTTAGGTTATCCCACTAATTAATCTTTGTACTATCTTAATGAGATACAGAGTCATGACTCATGAGCCATCTCTCATTTCAATCTGCTACATTTAAAGAAATTCACAGTCCATCGAGTCCCATCATTTTTTATGATTTTTTTCTTCAAAATGGGAAGGATGCATCGGATAAAGATGTATTAATTAAGTACACTATGGTAATAATTATGTTTGTTGCTAAAGTTTATCCCTTGGCCAATAAATCGTTTGGAAGGCAGAAACTGGAAAACATCGTGTCAAGAGTCTCATCTTCTAAGTTAGGAGAGCACACATTTTCAGACACAGGGGGATTAGATCATATCTCAATTTGCATTCTTCCTCTGTTCTTGTATTGCATGTGGACCTCATTTTTAGCAGTCCTTATCCATTGCTTTCCTGAGTGGGAAAATAAACTGTATAAATTGTTGATCATATGTAACATGTTCAAAAGGAATCACCAGCTGAAAAGGATAAATCTAATTCCCTTCAACTTTTATGTTAATGTTTTTTTTTTTCTTTATTGATATACAAGTATAGGTGTATCAAATTGTTACGACTGAAAATTCTAAATTGGAACGACTTAAAATTCTAAATTGGAGATCATTTCCAACGTTAGAGACCGATGTTTTCAACGCCCAAAAAATTTGACCTCACTTTTAGCCCCAGCCGTTCGACCCACTAATCATGATCCATGAAATCGTTTCCGTTACTTCTTTTTCCTTTTAAAGGGATAATCTTCCCATTTCTAAACTCAGTCTTGTCATAAATTTGAAAAAAAAATGTGGATTCTAAAGACAATATAAACATTCATCTTAAAGTTAACCCATAAGGAACTACATATGTTTCTTGTTGTTTTGATAATAGAATTTTTGCTACTTAATAAACTCTAATATGCAAGGTACTATAGTGAAAGGGGACTAAGTTGCTTGCTCTCTCTAAGTTGGAACAATAAGAGAGATTATCTAGTAACTAAATAAACTCAAAAAGTAATTTTTTTACTCCCTAATTTTTAAAGTGTGATTGAAGAAGTTTAGGAAGTAATCTAAGGCGTGATTATAATTTGTGCAATAGAATATGCTTCTTTGTTTTATGTATTGCCTATATGGCAAATCATGGATAAATTGTAATCTTTTTATTATTAAAATATTTTTGGTTTTATCAAAAATAAAATAAAATAAAATAAAAACTATAATAACTAACCTCAAGGGATGAATTTATTGATAAATAAATATTATTTTTTATAAGTTAAATTCAAGATTTAAGTCTTATTATTATCACACAAGAAAATTATTTTTTTTGAATGAATCAGATTGGTATGAAGATGTACTCTTAATTTTACTTAAGATGAATTAATTTTGAGATGTGAATAAACTCATCAAAAGTACAATAATTTTTAAAGAAAAGAAAAGTATAATAACTGCAGATT